ACCAACAGCTGCAGCTGGACTTGCCGGCATGAAGCACACATGATCTGTGTCCTCATTGCGCCTCAGTTTGTTATATTTTTATAAAACCTTTCTGAATTACAGCCTTTCTGAGAATTTCAGCGCACAACGTATGGGATTGTCTCATGTTCACAACAACCCTGGAGGATAGATTTGGCTGATAGCTTCCCTAGCACTGAGCCAGGGCAGTTAAAGTGGACTCAATTTGCACTATTTCTAGCAGTCTGCAAAGGCCCTAAGTCTCAAGGACACCCAATAAGCTACATAGTTCAGTGGAAATTGGAACTCAGGTCCTGCAACAATGTAATCTTGGGATGGGAACTCTTTTTAGTAAAAGGGCTGAATTGAGTCTTAGGCAAGCACTCAGGTCTTTCTGCTTGCTACCTGTGAGCAGGATCAACACGCTCCGCTGCTGGCCTGTGGTCCTTTACATATTTGCCTATGGATTTTTGCCCTTGCATACACAAACAAGCAAAATTCACACACCAAGCAGAAACTCAGGAGTATCCAGTGCAGTGAGTACACTTGTCTCAAGATGTTTGAAAGATAGTTGTTTGATTAGTTTTTTTAAAAAAAAACTTACTTTTCAAATGAATAAAATACCCATCTTTTGAGCATCAGGAGATGCGGCTTCAACATTCACACACAGCAAACTGCCAGTTAATGGAGGAAGGGAGCGATCGCTCTCTCCCTCCTTGGGCATTTTGCTGCTTTTCCATGTACTCCCTCCTTTCAAGCAGGATGACAAGCCCTCGCCCTTGTATTACCCTGAAGTGGCTCCCCCAAAGGAGTGACCCTTCCAGCAGTGGACTCCTGCTTTTATGTGGCAATTCCCTCAACTCTACAGCTGAGGTAGGGCTGCATCCACACTGCAGAAATAATCCAGTTTCACACCACTTTAACTGCCATGGCTCACTGCTATGGTTTTCTGTGAATTGTAGTTTTGTGAAACATTTGCCCTTCTCTGTCAGAGACCTCTGGTGCCACAATGAACTACAATTTGCTGAATTCTATAGCATGGAGCCATGACAGTTAAAGTGCTCTCAAACTGGATTATTTCTGCAGTGCGGATGCAGCCTAAGTGGAACTGGCAGGCAGGATCTGTTGAGTTACAGCTGGTGATGGGCCTGAGTCTGTAAAGAGGTAAGAAAAGTGGGTCTTCACAGTTGCACAGGTAGAGCGCAACTGGGAAGTGGCAACAACAACAGCAGTAAGTCCTCCTGGGGCTTTCGCTCCTGACAGAAAGTGCTGGTTAGTACTAGGTTGGGAGACCACCATAGAATACCAGGTGCTGTATGCTACATTGCAGAAAAAGGAACTGGCAAAATCACTCTGAGTAATCCTTGCCTAAGAAAATCCTATTAAGTTGAAGGGTTGCCATAAATTGACAGGCAACTCAAAGGCATGTGTAAACACACACACCTATTTCAATACATCACATTACAATTTCACATAATAGTATTTCAGTGAAGTATGCATATGTTGTGAACTGCCTTGGCTTCCCTGCTCGAAGAAAGGAGATATATATATTAATTGATTAATTAAGCAAATTGGAGATACTAATCTCTACCCTAATTCCTGCTGTATGCATATCAAAAATTAGTATTCACTTACCTCATCTAGAGGGTTATTCAGACATCATTTTTTTTAGTGCAACAATGCAAATAATCACACTCACGCATCCTGGTTTTGTTGTTCACACTATAGTACTGCATCTGTGCACCTCTACAAATTCACTTGCTCACACGTGCCAGGACTCAAATAAAGATGGAGTCGATGAGGCGGATGCATTCGATGCATGTTTCTTTTTTTTTTTTTAATTTAAATTAGTTTATTGATTAAAAACATGATAATACATATCAACAACAACAAAAAAAGAAAAGAGAAAGAAAAGAGAAAGAAGAAAAAAAAAACAAAAACTAACCAAACCAAAAAATTCAGAGAAAGAACCAAATACAGAGTTACATTGTATACATATCAATTTCGAAATAACAGTCAATAATAACAACAATAATAAAAAGAGAACGGATTACTCTAATTATCAAAAAAGGAATCTACAATATTGTTATCTTAAAGTCATACATTGCTTCATTTATAAATTAAAACTATACTGTATACAATAAAGGTATAGAAGAAAAAGTAAAAAATGCATGTTCCAAGGTATGCAGAGTTTTATCCTGGTTCATCCTGGGTCTATTTGCATCGGTTAATCACACAGCCAATGATGGAAGTCTTTTAGAAAAACTCAGAAAAATACCCAACATCGGTTATCCTGGTGTTGTTTTTTGGCAGCCACACCCAAAAAAAAAAACTAAATTGGGTGCTTCGAAATGCATGTGAACAAGAAAAATTCAACCCAGCAACAGCAGGGCAGGTGTTGTCTCAAGGCAGAGTGGCCTTGCTGTTGTTATTACCTGCCCTCAGTTGATTTCGACCCATGGCGACCCTATGGATGAGACATCTCCAAGAC